TGTTACCTGAATAAGCTGCTGAATCAGTTGATCATGATTTCTGTTCTCCAAATCGTAATCTCGGTCTCTTAAGTAAATCCTCTGCTTTGATGGACAAAAATAATTTGGCCTGTGTTGAAGCCAGAAGGCTGAGAACTTAGAATCAGGGGTGCCAAAAAGTATTGCTGAGGAGGTTTCTCAGAGCTTCAGAGAGTTTCCTCAAGTCACTAAAGTAATACCAAAATGTTGGACTTCTGTTCACAACAGAATTCAGGATACCTTGATTTCTTTGATCTGCAGGGTTGCAAACAGAGTTCCTCCTCAATTTCCTGTGAAGAACCCACTAGAGATAAGGTCCTTTCATCCAGGGGAAAAGCTGTTCTTCATGGATCTTCTTTCTTGGCAGACTGAGTGTATTTTGATATGATCAGTTCCCACAGCATAAAAAAACCCAAGTATTACAGGGAAATGCTTATTTAGTTGCACTGATGAAAAGGCAAAAGTATTTTATAAAGCTCAATAATTGATACCTTACTCAAGAACATCAACAGCTGTATCAAGCTGATAGATGTTGTTTGAGGCTTCACCGAGCACAAGATGTTTACTGTCTTGAATCATGTCAATCTACATAGAATATCCCTGGATTAAATCCCAGTTTATTTTGAGACTTATCTTCCTGTTTCCTCCTCATTGTAACCAAAACGATTTTCATAAGCATTTGTAGATAATGACCAGTATCTCTCTCCTGATTATCTCAGGCTTGGGTCAGATAAGCCACACAAATGTTATTTATGATATTCTGTGCTGTTATTTTATGGCCTTTTGCATTTCGTTGTTGTATGTGACTGCCCAATTATATATAATTGATAGACAGCTTCATATTTGTCAGAAAGAACTTGATAGCTGGCACATAAACCAAACTGGTTTTGTTTCTTTACGGTGTATCTTTTAAACCTTCTCAACCTGGTCCTATTTTGAAAGACTTCTTATGTTTGGTTTTTTCTCAATGCCTGTGGCTCATTAAATATACACTTTAATTGACTTATTATGGAAATAATTTTTTCAACAAAGAAAATATCATGCATGGCAAAGCAGATTAAACTCCTCAGCTCCTCAGGTTCCTTCCTTCTGCTGCAGCATGAAGGAACAAGGCATAGGATATCCATCTCTCTGTATATCTAGGTATGGAGAAATAAAATGACCTCAGGGCCCAGAATTTGCTGCAGAAAAATGTTGGCTGCACAAGACATGCCTTTTTTCACTGAATTTGTGTAGAGCTAGAATCAAACTAGGGACAGTTTAAATAAAAGGTTTCATGCCTTCAGTGGGGTTCCCAATCATGACATACTGCTGAGCAACTCTTAGTCCAAAAATACGTTTAAAGGAGAGAATCGAGGTGTAAGACCTCCCTCTGTGACTACAGGTTTGCTGTGTGGATATTTATCACTGTTTCCACGTCAGGTAATTGAGAACAGGTATTCTCTGCTAAACTAAACCCAAATTTTCAGCCTGCTTTCATCCTACTCCCAACCTCAGGCACCTACTTGAGGTGTCAGGAGAACATTCGCCCTGGGCTTCTGCTGCAGTCAGTGACAAGATACAGGATAAATTGTCAGCTTTAAGCACCTCTGTGGCTTTGACAGTCCTCGACAATCAAGGATATCTAAACTCCTAACTCTACATCCTCTACACAGTTAAGTGTCTTATGTTAGCTGGGAGGAATCCAGACTTTCAGTCATAAGAAAAAGTGAAAGGAAAGAAATGTCAGTGTCTGATTCATCCAACTTCTCCCCACTGTGCAGATCAATCCTTAATTATACTATCTGCTTGAGAACAATTTCTAGTCTTTGCCTCAGGGCAACTTTCCTAAAAATAAAAATGTGTTTCTTTGAGTGGAATGATAAAAAGAAGCAGTTATGATCCCATATCAGTCATAGATGGTTACGAGTTATGATCAATACAATCTGAAAACACAGACATAGCTGATAATGTCTCTGCTATTTTCAACAATGTTTAATTATTTTTAATCAAAAACACGGATTCCACATATTTTCATAAACTTTGCTAATTTCTTTGTATTCTGCTTATGAGAGTTATTTAAAAAATCATTTAAAAGGTGTTTCTGCCATCTTCCACTTTATAAGAAAGGGCAAGTTCTTTTGAGCCTCAGAAACAATTAATGTTTGGCAGCATTTAAATGTGCAGAGCAGTGCAGTGTATTGAAAAGTGGATTCACTTGTGTTAGTCAGCAATTTTTCAGATTTTGGAGAAATCTCAGGCTCCTCTAGCGTATCACATGCTGAAGGAACTAACAGTGTGCTGAACTGAGAGGGGCCAAGCCTGAATCTAACTCTGTCCTTCGTGCGATGAGCTAAAGAGACTGAGAGTGCTGTAGGATTCACACCAGGGAAAATGGGCTGTATCCTGATCTTCTCTGCACTGAGTGATTCCACTTAAACCAACACACCCACAAAAAGAAAAAAAAAAACCTTAAAAAAAATAAACAATCATAGCCAAGAAAATCATATTTACTCACATCCTGGAAAAAAAGAAAAAAATGTCAGCCTAATGCAGCAGCTCATCCTGGAGACGTGGGAGAGAGAGTTATCTTCCATGACACCACTGAATATGAGAATAAAAGCTATAGATACAAGTTGTAGTGTGTAAAACAATGACTCTCAAATGGCTGTGCTTGGGAGTTATCCCACTGGACACTATTTCTGCCTGAGAGTCCTTTAAATTTGAGATGCATCTGTGAATCTGCTGGGGAGAAAGGTCATCATTGCTCAAAATGTAACAACAACGTATTTTATAATGATAAATTATCGGCCACCTAGCCACACTAATAAAACAGGCTGATCTGCCAGGATGCACTGTTTACACCTTTTCCTCCTTCACTTACGATTAGTTTGCTCTGAAACACAGAACAGCTCCATTTGCCAGAGACAGGGGATGCAAGTGAACCTGTTAGCTGAGCTGCTTCGCACTCCCTGGACAATAGCCAGGGGATCCTTTAGCAAAACCTCCTGCAGTTGGTGGGATAAACTGTCTCCTTGCCTCAGGGAACCTCAGCATTAAAGTTATTAAATAAAACAGCCAGTCTGGCAGTTGGCTATGAGAAGCAATTTATACCATTGTAAATGGATTAGCAAAATGTAATTTCTTTTAACGTTTCCGTTTCAATTATTTCAAAGAGATGTGCGGTTATAAATGTTAAGGAATTGTTTAAATGTTTCTCACAGTGGAAAAAGTAAATATAGGTTAGAGCTCCAGACTCCCAGGTGAATTTTCTATGTTTTTCTGTTTTCTTTACTTTAAGGGTTTCCACGTACTGCTGTAAAAGTTGCCCATTTGGAGACCAGGAGGGGGGAAAAAAAAAAAAAACAATATTTGTGCTTCTGATGAAGCAGGGTATTATACTAATCAGGGAAGTATAGATTTGAAATGTCTTGAGGACCAGAGGAAAGCCTACGGCTGTTCTTATCCTACATTCTCAGCTGGTGTATTTTGACATCAAGAGCCTGGAGCAGTGCATGAGATACCAAGAGAGAGACTACACCACATATCTGTGTGTGTGAGGAGCGGGGGGGAATCTCTCTTGGAAGAACATCTCTGTGGATTTCCTCCGAGAAGGGTTAATTAACATACATAGCTGGCAGCTCAGAAACCATCGCATCCTCTCACGGTGATTTCAGCAATATCTCACCTGAGCTCCATTATTTTTTCCCCTTTTCCTTTTTTTTTTTTTTTTTTTTTTTTTTTTTTGCTATGCTGTTGCAATTAAGCTACGAGATGCAACAAGAAATATGACTACTGGCAGGGGATAATCATGTCCTTCGGGTGTAATCAAGCACCAAGAAGAAACCAGAGCTCCCGATCCCCCATGGGCGCGATTACCCCATGATGGCCATATCCATCCAGAAGCTGCACTGGTACCATAAACTGCTTTTTTTAATATATATATATATTTAAATGTGTTATCCAGGCAAATGACTTGTCTCAAGCTGCCATGTTGTGTCAGACCAGGCTGGTTGCAGCCAGTCCCCTCAACGAACCCACCGACGCAAGGAAATTTCCACCAGGGATTCGCCTGGTTGTACGAACCTCCCGCCTTTCAAAACACGTCTCTCCATGACACGCTCACGAAGCTGAATTAAAGTTGCTGCAGACTTTAAAAGAGGGGGTGGTGAGGGGCAAAAGTAGGGCAGCAAGAAATAAGGGACGAGGCTTGCTCAGTTGAAAGGAGCCGTGGAGAAGCCTGAGGGCTGAGATGGCAGTCATCATCGATTCAAGGAGGGGGAGATGTCAAGGACGGGGAATGTCAAGCAGGAACAACAGTAAGGGTGCTTAGCAGTGCCAAGCCTTCCAAAACCAGCACAAATAAAGCTACAGGGCTGTTGGGATTGGGCTATTTGCTGCTTGAGATCACAAGAAAAATGTTTAAAAAAAAAAAAAAAAAAGATACGTTTACAATGTACGCCCGTCCTCTCCCTCCTGCCTACACAAAACTAATTAAAAATACTCTCTCCCTCCCTTCCTCTGATGCCCCCACCCCCACTGGCATCATCTTGAAATAGTCTTTGCAAACAAAGTTAGAAACAAGCAAGTGCTCTACATGGAACCAATCATGTCAATATATAGATAAGCAGCAGCAACACACTGGCCCTGAACAAATAATCAAATGTTAAAGGGAGAGCTACAAGAACACAAACACGCTCCAGGTTTCATTCTGCTGCACTGTCTGCAGTGTGTGTGTGTGTATTCCTGAAGGATCAACACCTGCCTTTGCAGGTGAGAGTATTTTATGGCACAAAATGTATTTATTAAATAGGTTTCTGCACATAGTTTACTGCAGATTCTCACCTAGGTGACCGAATTAATTATTTTCTTGCTGATGCGGCACCAAATGTGCTGATATTTTCAGGTGTGTACACACTCGTGCTCACACACAAACACACACAGAGAACAGCTTGAAAATGCAACAAAAACCAGCTCACCACAATGTCTGCTGGGCTGGACCGCTGAGTCTGCTGCTGAATAAATGACAACACTGCAGGAAAACACCAAACAATGTTTTTCAGATGTTTGAATGGACAGCAAACATTTTCCATGGTTTCAAACTTTGATTTTCGTTTCATATTGAACAATTTTTAAATTTTAAGAGAGAAAATAAGCCTCAGCACTTTGGTCACTGACTTGTATTAGAATCATATAAGCCCTGAAAATCCCTGACCACAGAGGAAATGATGGATCTGAGACTGCAAAAAATGCTGATTTTCCAGGCTTGTTTATAAAGGGAAATCAAAAGCCCCCTACGTGCATATTACACGGAGTTGTGGAGCACTGCAGGAAACCAAACAGAAATTCAAATTTTGCTTTGGTTTACTAGGCTGTCTCTGAAACCAAAATACCTTTGTTTGGCTGCAACTTCAGTGTAGGAACCTACCAGTGGGTTATTTCCAACTTCACTAAGGGACTCTGTGACATTTCCCACCCAGAAGCATACAGCATGCTCTTGACATGTACAATATGGTATAATCAATTTATATATTCTTGATGTACAAGTCTTTTTTTTTTTTTTTTTATTCCTTCTTTTCAACTTCTAACATGTCAAAATGTATGATTCTTGCAAGGGAGGAAAATACACTCTTTTGTAGAAAAGCTCATTTTCAACCTTCCTCAGAACAGTGATTCTGTTTCACAATAAATATGGCATGATATTCACCCAAAATTTGTGCTTTTCTGGGACCTATGTGACATTACTCATTACTGTGACATTACTTCTGGCACAGGAGGGAATTTCACTGCCATAAACTGTAACCAAGGAAAACCCTCCTTTTTACTGCTCCACTGTGCATTTGATTTTCTGCATATTTAGAAAAAAGGAAGATATTTCTGTCTGAATAAATTAGTTTTCCTAGTAAGGTATTTTCCACACACAGAGAGAAATATTATCCCTATTGCCCACGGTCTTCCAGTTCAAAGGGAAGAAAGAAGATGGAAAAGTAGAACACCAGGGAACACTTGATCACGTTGCTCCTTTCAAGCAGTGACCCTTTCTGCAGCTATTACCAGAGATTAGCTTGAGAACTCGTTGGCTGGAATTGGACAGGCTTAATAAGCAAGACAGTCATATTCCTCAAAGGCTTTTGGCCTCCTGGGTCAGAGCTGGAGCCCGTCGATCAAATTCCCACTCCCACACCAGATTAGAGGTTGAAACTCTTGTCAGCCCACACTGGGGGCAGCCAGCAGGGAGGAGGAAGGTTCGTGGCACATCCTCTTTCCTCAGAGGTGGCGAGGTAAGGGGAGGCTCCTGCGGTGTGGGCTGAGGGGGCTTTGAAGGACGGCACTCTCCACAAAGAGGAAGGCAGGCAGGAGCTGCAGGTGGGTAATCACCTTTTTAGAAGTACTTTGGTGTCTGTTTGGGCGTGAAGTTTGTCCTCACAGAGGGAAGGAGAGGCAGAGGCAAGGGGCACAGCTGAGCACAGCAGTGGTGGTCGGATAAACTGTCGGCTGTGGTTACGAAGGGAGAGGAATTTCGAGTAGTGATTTAAGAATTGTAAGCACCAGTTGGGTGAGACTAAATCTGTGCCACCACTCAAGATTTGCTACTAAGAGCAAAAGGGAGACTTGAGTGTCAGGGAGCAGCACTGGCAGGGACTGGGTGTCCTGTGCCCCAGCAGCCAAAGCTCCAGGAGGGGCTGTGCCCTCAAAGACATTTCAGAGTCCAGCCAGAGGAAATGAAATGAGGCTGAGGACTAGGCTTACTGCACTACAGGGTCATTCTGCTGTCCATCCACACCACGGAAAATTTAACCAGACTATTCCAGGCCAAAAGCACAGAATCATAGAACGGTTTGTGTTAGAAAGGACCTTAAAGATCACACAGTTCCAACCCTCCTGCCATGGACAAAGGCACCTTCCGCTAGACCAGATAGTTTAGAGCTTCATCCAACCCATCCTTGAACACTTCCAGGGATGGGGCATCCACAGCTTCCCTGGGAAACCCCTTGCAGTGCCTCACCACCCTCACAGATAAGAAATTCTTCCTAAGAAGAATTAACCCTAATTAACCCTAATTACCTAACCCTATCCTTTTTCGTGTGGAAGCCATTCACCTTTGTCCTATCACTACTTACCCTTGTAAACAGTCCCTCTCCAGCTTTCTTGTAGGCCCATTTTAGGTACTGGGAGGATGCTGTAAGCTCTCCCCAGAGCCTTCTTTTATCCTGGCTGAACTCAGACAGCTCTTTCAGCCTGTGTGCATAGCAGAGCTGTTCCATCCCTCTGATCATCTTGGTGCCTCCTCTGGCCTCTCGAACAGTTCCATGTCCTTCCTGTGCTGTTCCCAGGACTGGAGGCAGCTCTGCAGGTGGGGTCTCACCTGAGGGGGCAGAGGGGCAGAATCCCCCCCCCCCTCACCTTCTGCCCATGATGCTTTGGATGAAGCCCAGGGTATGGTTTGGCCTTCTGGGTTGTGAGTTCACATTGCTGGGTCATGGCCTCTTCTGGGATACAAACACATGGCCCTCTACAGAAGCCGAATTTCACCTGTAACATACACCCAGGGCATTTAATCACAGGGCAGGCTGTCCCTCCTGATTTCTTTCCATGCGTTATTTCTGTGGGTGTTTGCACAACCACCTTGCTTCCTCCCAGCACTGCCAAGGTTGGGGGTCTGACGGATCTGGCTCTCTGTGGTTTGTTTCAGCAGAGTGTTGTGCACCCTCCCGTCCCCCCTCACTGCATGGAGAGTTGAAGGGACTTTGCTCCTGGCAACATCAGGCCCCTGATTCCCAGTGGGTTCTATTAACGTCTCATCCCAGCTCTCCTTTTCCATCTCCGTAGAGATTCATATTATCTTGCTAAAACTAAGCAAGTAAAAAGCTCTGTGGGGCTGGCTTGTCTGCAGGCTGTTTGTCTTTTCTGTACAGCTGCAGGCAAGCATCTGTAAAGTTTCAATATTTGCTCTAAATGAAATGTCTCCCAGCTAGAACTCCATTTCATGTGGTATTGCTGGTGCAGACAAGATGTAGCCTGTAAACAGAAAAATAAACCCCCTTGGGACACTGATGCTACTGGTAATAAAGGTGTTAATTGCTCTTCCTTGACCAAGTTTTAGATTACCTATATTTCATCTTTGTTTTTATTAAGATGTGTTGCTATCTTATGATTTAAACCCTCATCATAATCTCACTTAGAAACAGATAAGTTGTTATCAGATATACTGGACATCTTTTTTTAATTGTTGTGTGAATATTAGGGATTAAGAAAACGCAGCTGTAGACAGAGACAACCTTGAATCATAGGAAAATACGACTTTAAAGCAACATGAAAGCCAGTCTAGTTGGTTGGCTCAGTCCCAAAACAGGGTCACTGTTAATACTCAGTTACTACTAATAGGTGGCAGCTTAATTTGTTCTTTAGGATCTCCATAGCTGGAACTTTTGCAGCCCTCATCAGAATATTGTGCCCATGTCATCATGCACATCAACATGAATATTCCTTGTGACAATGTTAATTCGCTGTTTCTCACCTTCTCCAGCGTGACCATCCACCCTGCTCCATTCGAGTGCTTTACCTTTCTGGACCTGGTTGGCATCCAGTCTCTTTTTTAGCCTCAGACAGCTCTAATGTCACTTTTGGAGACATAAACCAGGGATAGCACCAACCTCTGCAAGTGCCACTGAAAAATCCAGATGCTTCCTGGGAGAGCAATATTTTAGAGAGACTTCTATTTTTACCCTTAAGCTCGAATTTTCAAGTCCATGAGCTGTACAACCAAACTGCCAGGGAACCTTCATCTCTTGCACTGCAACCAGCAGAAAAACTTTGTATTTACCAGGAAAACAAACTGGAAATTAGAGAAACTACTACAGAGCTACATGGAAAGGGCAACAACTTTGAGCTCTAAACCCAGGTGTGCTCTAAAATAGCCATTCAGAGGTGAAAAATCTCTCTTCTCAGCTAAAAAATCCCTGAGCAAAATATATTTAATCTCACATTAACTGTAAGTACCTGAAACTTGTTATGTTGGTTTGGTTTCCAAAGCCTTTTTTCTCATGTAGCAGTCTGAAGTGTCGGATTGGGAAGAAGGATTTTAGCCAATTGATTCCGTAATGAAATTATTGTCCGGGTTTTATATGCATCATAATATCTACATTTAGCATTCTATTATCATTAGTGCTTGAGGACATCTTTCATTTAGCTACTTACAGATTTTTATATCCAACTCCCAGAGGTAAAAGTCCTCATCTTGCTGAGTTTGAAAGTTTTCTTTCCCAGCATCTTATTCTTCAGTCTCAAAGGCCTGACATTTTTTAAACTCTTGGCATTCCCTTCAGTAACAAGGTTGAAATCTGAATATGCTACATCCATTTGGCTTCAATTTGATGCTTCACTGAGGCACAGCCTGGCTGAGGAGAGAGGAAAAAATGAATCTGAATGCCAACCATCTATTGGGATAACTAAGTAAAAAATCAGCAGGTCTCAGGCTCTAACTGAGAAATAGCATTACCCCGTAAGTGAGAAGGAATTTATTTTGCATGAAATTATAGAAATATAAGTTGCCAGTGATATAACAGAGTTATATGAATTTAGCATCACTCCAAGAGGAATTTAGACTAATCTGGTGGCATGGCAGTAACTCACTAGACTTTTAAGGACACAGAACGGTTCCATGAATTGATTTAATAGTTAAACAAATATTCAGTCCTGAGAGGAAAAGAAAACCATGCAAACCTAAGGTTAATGGAGACTGGTCCCAGGGGATGTCTTTTACTCCTTGATGCTGTCTCTTAGGCTTCAAATGTTCTTGTGTCTCTATGCAAATGAGCTGCTTACAAAATCCAGCTCTTTCAAGTGTGTTCTGAGCGCTACTGTCTGTGTCATTTTACAGTAAACACATTTTTGTTGCATAGCAATATGTTTCTTTTAAAAGATGGGTAAATATGCAAAATGTTTCTGTAACTATTTGTCAGATAGTCAAACAGATTTTTTGTCTATCCTCAGGCCCCTTTTATGTTCTCTCTCTGTGAACATATGCGACAAGAGCTCTCCCAACACAAATACTTGAAGGAATCAAACTGCAAGCTCTTTTTCTACCAACATTTGCACAAAAAAAAAAGGAGTAAAAAAAAGGAAGAGGAGAAAAGTATGTTTTATCATGCAGTGGAGTAGAAAAGCTCTGTGAATTGTGACCAGCTCTTGTGGCTCCTGACTTCACAGGAACCTGTGAAGTTTTGTTGATCCTCGAGCTGGTAGTATTCGACATAAAACCATCTCAGGAAGGAAAGAGAGAAATAGAAGCCAAAGTCCTTGTTAATATGTCAGCAACCAGATGTCAGTGAGACAGTCTCCTATTTTCCTTGGAGTCACTCCAGATGCAATGTGTGACAAATGAGTAACTGCTCAACTCATAGCACAAGTGAAGTGAATGTGCTGCCGAGAGAACACAGACACGCCAGAGGACTTCCCTCTTTCTGCAACACGTCCTGTTGTTGAGGGCATTTGGTCAAGGGTTGGCTCATTTGCAGCTTCAAAGACTCTGCACTGGTAAAATCAAGTTCCCCAGTTTCCTGAGCAGTGATTATCCACAGGCTGTTGTAGGCACACATCTCAAAAACCAGCTCACCAGGCTTTATTTCCAGCACAAATGACCGGGGGGAAGTTGGTATTTATGGAAGGAGTTCTTCCCTGTGAGGGTGGTGAGGCTGTGGCTCAGGCTGCCCAGAGGAGCTGTGGCTGCTCCATCCCTGGAAGTGTTTAAGGCCAGGCTGGACAGGGCTTGGAGCAACCTGAGACAGTTGAAGGAGTCCCTGCCCATGGCAGGGTTGGAACAAGATGATCTTTCGAGTCCCTTCCAAACTAAATCATTCATGGTTTCTATACTCTTACTGAATGTCTGGGATAGAATTTTACCTAGAGGTGGTTTTGCCTGAAGCCCAGTCTGACTGAATCAAGTTCCATCAAGCCTTATTCTGTCATGTCTCCAAGTGCAGGGGTTGTGACCTGCCCAGTGCCCAGAATACAGAGTGGGTATGAAGTCACTGGGGAAACAGGCTCCTGTGATATCACTGGTACAAAAGCTTTTGTGGGATATGATATTCTACCATTCTCCACTTGAAAAATGAGCTAGCTGCATTAGCAAACAACCTGATTTGAATCATGTGTGCCTCTACCAAGCTGAATCTCATATACCACCGTCCTTTTGACATGAGCGGCTTTTTTTTTATTATTATGGGGTTTTGCAACCTAAGGTAGAGCCCTTTGACCTCTGCAAATCTTCTTTTCTAGGAGAAAAATATATAATTGCTGTTGATCACAAGTAGTCTCTTTGAAATATTCCAGAAGACAGAAAAGACAATCTTTCCCTCTTCCACTTTTCTTTCCGTGCCTAAACTTAAACTTTGGCTGTTTAGGTGGTTGTGTTGCTTCATTAATCCTCTGATGAGACACAGTGGGCCAAAGATTCAACCATAATTATTCTTAAAGCACAACTTCAACAGCATCTTTCCAAGAGTTTCACAAAGAATGCTTTGATTCAAGCTTCCGTGCCCCAAAATGAATGAGAGCTTTTATGACAAGCACTTACAAATAACACCCAGGAAGCCACAGATGATGTGACTGGCTACAGGCACGCCTCCAAACTGCTAGGAGTTACTAACACGGTCATTCTGCTTTATCTGGGGGAAAGTTTTTCCCTTTATGAACCAATCATCCAGTCTGCCACTCTTCCTGTGATTCAAAACACGTGCAAGGAAGTGCTGTTTCTACAAAACAAGTGGTATTTTCACAGGAGTTCCCAGATTTTGAGATCAGCGTGGTAAACACTCAAGTGATGTTTTGTTCTAGTCACACAGCCACAGAAACACAAATGGGTTTTGTATTAAGGGACCAGCCAGCACTCCCAAATTCTTATCCTATAAGAATTATACATTCATTCAAAGTTCCAGGATGTAATATTGCCAGAAGCCCTCCAAGCTCTGTGCATTTGCAAGCTCTATAAATTATTCTTATCAATTTTACAGTAACACGTGATATGGCAGAGGATAAAATGTTGGAGCATGAAGACATCCTGCTATGGACAGAGCCTCAGTTTTATATCCGGTTCCATTCCAATCCTGCCATGAGTAGATTCCTGTCATTCTGGATGAGGTGTTAAGAGCAGTAATTATGGGAGCAGCTACATCATTCCCTCTGTGCCTTTGAGTGCTGTGTGTTTCTGCTGCCTCAGGAAGATGGACCCTCCGACTGCAGCAAACATGGGTCTTTGAGGTAAATTGATGAATACGGATTTCAGCATGAACAATTTACCACTAAATACAGGAATGTTTATAAAGATGAGGAGCAAAAACTGAAAATCTGAGTTCTTGTTAGCAACATAAATAAACATAAATTGCAGGTATATTCAAAGTCACCTGAGATAATGCCAAGAGTGTTGGGCAATGCAAAGTGATTCCAGTGCAAGAGGAGCCAGACGATGATGAGGACAATGGTTCATGGAGGTTGGAGGAGTCACCAAGGTTAAGTTGGTCTATGTCCTACATCAAAACCACTTCCATAAGGAAAAGAAAAGGGTCATTGTCACAGGAGACTCTCTCCTGAGGGGAAAAGAGGCCCCAGTATGCAGACCAGATCCACTTCTTAGGATTCTTAGGTTAAAGATGTGCAGGGAAAGCTTCCCACCCTGGTACAGCCCCCACATCATTATCCATCAGTGATTTACCAGGTAGGCAGTAAAGAAGTTGCAACAAGAAGCCTGATGGCAATCGAGACAAACTTCGGGTCCTTGGGACAACTGATTAATGGATCAGGAGCATAAGTAGTGTTCTAGTCTATCCTTCCAATTGCAGGGAATAATGAGGGAAGAAACAGGAAAGAATCTTTGTGAACAAGTTAACAGGGGTCGTTGAAAGAGCTTTAAACTAGATTTGATGGGGGAGGGGGATAAACTAGGCTCACAAGAGCTAAGCCTGGGGTGGTAGATTGACGTTTGAGGGATGGTGATAGTGAGGTCCCTTCTGTCTGCCGTGTCAGTGGAGGTAGGGGATGGAAATCCCTGTGGCAGCAAAGACACAAGGGTTATTCGTGTGTTAGAAACCATGGAGGCCCATTAAAGTGATCACCCCAGAAGAAGGGTGATCATCAATTTCAGTTTTAGTGCATCTTCACCAATGCTCACGGCATGGACAACAAACAGGAGGAGCTGGAAGCCACTGCACAGCTGGAAAAAGCACAACTTTCCACACATTCCAGGAACATCCTGGATTGTTTCCCCTCTGCTGTGTTGTATTTCCAGCAGATATCTGATAAGTCTCACGGTTGCTAGCCCTTGTTCTCTACAAACTTCAGCTTATCAGATGTGTGGAAGGTAATTCCTGACACAGCTGGTGAGGAAGACAACCAGGGGAAGTGCCCTGCTAGACCTGTTTTTTGCGGACAGAGAAGGACTTGTGGATGATGTAAAGGTTGGAGACTGTTTTGAGCATGAACTTACAGAGTTTTTTTCAATTCCTGGAGAAGTAGGGAGGGGCATCAGCACAACCTTGAACTTCCAGATGGCAGACTGTGGCTTGTTTACGAGCCTGGTTGACAGGAGAGGCTGTCCTGAAGAGCGAAGGAGTCCAGGAAGGCTGGAGATCCTTCAAGGGGAAAATCTTCAAGGCACAGGAGGAGGTTGTGCTGAAAGATGAACTGGTGGAGTACAAGACCCGCCTGGCTGAACGAGGATTTGTGATTTTGGTGCTTTCCTGACGCTCGAAGGTACCAATATAAACTAACAATCATATGACAAGATGCAAGGGCATCAAAGGGAGGGACTACTGCAATTCAGTCCAAAGGACAGAGAGAAGATGAATCAATATTTATTACTAAAAAACTCCGCTGGGAATTTCTGCACTTCAAAGGATACAAAGATTTGCCCTTGAAGAGTGAAAAAAACCTGCTTTTCTAGAACAGTGGCATGACTGGAATCAAAATCCTTGTTCCGAAAATTCAGGAATAGCCAAGATCAATAACCCTCCACAGATTTCTGTGCACAGTCCTCACTCTATGTATTAACTGAGAAGGCTATGCCAGAAGCAAAAGAGAAAAGAGGCTGCTCCAAAGCAGTGTCCAGATTTTTAAATCATCTTGAGAACAATAATCAGGCTAGATTATGGGATTTACATCTGATATCTGAGACAAATTTGCTTTAGTAACTAATTTAATTGTCTGCATTATACATACAATGCACATGCAGTGTGCTGCAACTGTAAGAAGATATGGTTGGTGTTTTGTTTGTTTAAACTGAATTTAATCACAACCTAATTTACTAAGTTAACTTTTTCACCAGTCTTACAGTTGCTAAAGTACAAAGAAGTCACAATTCTTGCAGTGACTGTTTGCCTGACAATATTATGCAGAGTACTACGTATTATGTCATATTTTAAAGTTCATTGTCTTGGGGTTAACTTTCCTTCTAAAGGTCAGAGAACTGTCAGGACACAAAAGGTTTCAGCCATACTAAAGAAATACTCCTAAGTGCATGGCATTGTCATACTACTGTGACATTAACTACACTAAAATTGATCACCAATTTAAACATGAGGATTTACTAGCACTGTCGATTGTCCTTCTTTTCCTACAAGTTCAGCTTAGCTCATTCCCAGCCCATCTTCTGGTCTGGGTTTGCATATCAAGTAACACAAGCAAAAGGAAAAAAATTACCTCTCTGCCTTTTACAAGAGCTCTTGTCTGTGTGCTTGAGGGGCAAGGGAAGGAGAATTTCCTCATCATTCCTAGACTTGCTCTAAACCTTCATGCTGTGTTGAATAAAAAGCAGAACCCACTTTTACATTCATTTTCAATGTGTTCTGCGTTTCTATTTATGGAAGCCATTCAATGTGTGCAAATACCACCTTCTTTCAAATTCTGCTGTTATTTCTGTTCTTCCTCAATAATTAAAACAGATAGTGATTAGCTTGACTAAATATCAAAAGCTCCGAGTTTTGCATTATTTTTGGTTTTCTACTCCTTAATTTGGTCAGTAGTTACTCTTTTTTTGTCCTATGGGCTTTGAATTTGACAATGATGCTTTGGGAGATCATGTCTAATCTACAGAATAACACTGGCAGTACCTCACTGCACTTCCTGCAAGCATTTAATCAATCTCCATATTAATTAATTTCAACTTTCTCCTTATATGGGACTTGACTGAACAGATTTTTTACTTTCCATTATTTTTAACACTAATCCTCTATTAAATAGGAGCTCCTCTGGCCATTTTGACATTCCTACAAAACAGAGTTATTGTAACTCAACCCCCTTGAAAATCATTTTTCCTTGTCTGGCATATGCACATGAGGATGTTGTATGACCTTGAGCCCTCAAATGACAAATGGCAAATGACCTTGAACATTCTTTCCAAATCCTATACTTTGATTCAGTAAAAGCATTTCTTAAGAGATTTAACTGTGTTAATTTAACTGTATTGTACTATCCTGCCTATTTATTTTTATTTTTTAATTATTTTTAAGGATCTTTGATATTAATTAGACAACAACATTGCTTGACACAATTTTTCTTCACTAAATAAACATGTATTATTGAATTACCCCTGTAAGTCTGATTACTAAATTATCTCAGTAATGACCTACTCTTGTCTTGCAACTATGGAATAAAAATACCCTTTGAAGTTTTCTGTGTTCCTTCTGTAATAGCCTAAAAATGCCACAATGGAATCCTATTCTTATTGAAGACATTGGCTTCCACATTACTCATTATTTCTTCTACTAATTCATTACTAATTACTGCAGTGCCCAAGAGACCTGGTTGTAGACGAGAATGTTCAACGCTCCATGAATATTAAACAAATAAAAGTTTATTCTTTCAGATAAAAATGGGAACACTGTTAAAACTAATGAGATATACATATATTACATATTATTATATGTAATATGTATTATACAATGTTTAATAATTATACATAATTATAGATAATACATCTGTGTAATATATATTTCTATTATATATTTACTT